TAATGTCAAATCGTTATGAATACTTGTTTCAAAATTAAATGAAAAAAATATCAAATACAAATATTGTCGAGAATCATAAATTTATATATTTTCTGGTTTTATTAACTCTATGTAAAATATTTTATATTTCTTGAGACTAATAATAACATTACAAAAGTAATCACGTTGACTTCAACATAGATATTGAATTAAAATACTCATCGAAACACAATAAAATAGTTGGAAATAACTAACCATAGAGTTTCAATAAATTTCAAATTTAACATACTTCTACATCGTTAAATGACTTTAAAAAAAAATTTAAAACCATAATTTTATTATAGGATTCAAAAAGAAAAAAAAATTATTGTAAAACGCTTTTTTGCCGCTCAAACTGATGCATGCAAAGTAACAACGTAAATTAAATTTTTAAATAAATTTTTCAAATTATTCTTTAATGGGTTAAAAATATTCAATATGTCAATAATTTTGTGTTCTCTTGAATTCGGTAGAAGGCCCTACTGGTTTAGTATACAGTGGTCGTTTTCAAAGCATTACTGACACGACGGAAATCGTTAACGTGCATTGCAAAACGTATTTTATTTATTTTTTTCTATAAGCTAACTGCCCAAATAGGTGTCCACTACCTTCGTGAAGTTTCACCGTGTACTTCGAAAGTCTGGCAGTATTGTGCATTGTTATAAAAGTGGTACACGCATTCGTGACCCGTTTATTCAGACCCTTTTAAGAGTGATTACATTTGCAACGCAACAACATTAGCGTTTTATTTGAGCTTTTCTTGGAACCTGTTTCTGGGCGGTGCGCATTTTAACAAATGTTATTAATTTCTAAACAGATGTGTGGTCCGTTCGTCTGGTTGCAAAACCGTCCTAGACGAGAAACGGAATCCGCACGAAGTCAATCAATCATATTATGTTTGGTTGCTGACCATTTCTAACACGCATTATGCGTGGTTCGTCTTAGCTTTAGAAACTTGTACTATAATCGTACGATGTAGAACTCGTAGCTGTGTACATTATTACCCGAAATCAGTGTTTCAACAATGCAATTGATTATCGTTAATATTGTTATAAATGTTGAACATAAATCGAAAACGAAATAATAATTAATATTTATACGCGTAATGCTAAAAATGCCCAACAGTTGTAATATATGATACAGGACTAGTTTCATAATCAGATCGACGATCCATCTTGTATTCTTAAGATAAAGTCGAGCTTCTATTGATTAACAATACACGGCAAGATAGAATTTCATTTTTTCCCAGACGTGTTCCGATCGGTTTCGTGGTTAGTTTTTCATAATATATAACGATCGATTACTCGTTAGTTCCATGTTCTATAGAGCTGTTTAAAGCAGGGACCACACCTAGGTTGTGTTTATTTTTAATTAATTTTTCTCTTATAGACAGTAACACTTTTGAAGTTTCTTGGTGTCTGAATAACAGAACGATAAAAAAAAAAAAACCAGCCGTAGACGTCGTAGACCATCAGAGAATACGTCTTTGTTAAAATATGTTATCGCAAAGTCCTACTAACGAAAAACCGTCCGGAAGCTATCGGTTGGTTGTTTTCTTTCAGATACAGTGTTCTAAAACCTATCGAAATTGTTCTACACATTTTAGACGACGAAAAACTAATGAGTATCTGAAACGTGTAGACTCCGACTTGCTATAAACTTTCAATCAACCCACTCGTATCACTCGTTCTATAATCAGCCCAAAAAGTTAACGACACAGTGGTTAGCCCCTACGCATCTTCACATATTGGTGAATGAAAACAACAACATATATTGTAAATTCTTATCGCTCAAAGTTATTGTGATTTTTTTTAAAAATATAACTAAGTTTTGGGATTAAAATATCGTTGTTACAACGCCAATGGTTGCGACACTGAACAATTAACAATTAACCTTATCAATATACCAATGCCCTACTGACGGTAAGTTAAAATTCCAGTAAAATTTATAACAGCTTAAGTTTGTGTAATTTTTCAGGTGCGTCATTAAACATGACCATGGCCTAGTTGGCCCTAGTCTCAGTTTCGTCCGTGAGTATTGTTCACGTGCGTATAATGTATCGAAACGCTTATACGACTAAGCTTATACTATAAGCATCGATGTAAGACCGTAGGCTTTAAACCACGGCGGTCGATGTTCAGGTGCGAGAACTATCGACTTCGATACGTTGAACGGTTGATACAAATGAATTACACCCCCGTCCGTCTACGGTATAAGAACCCCATGTTATTTCGTCAACCCTTCGAGCGGTGGTAAAAAAAAAAAAAGCACGCGAGTCCCGATACGGTTTCGTCGGGATAGAAAGACTATGCGTGTACACAAACAACACGAGCGCCGTCAAAAAACTCGGCAGTCCCGCCGTCATTGTTCTGCAGGTGCGATAATCGGAGATAGAAAAATCGGCAAACCCCTCGGAAAGCCTATTATTATTATATTATATTATACGCCTACGCGCGCCACACACACCTGTCTGGCCGATCCTGCGGGCAGAAGGGGGACCGGATTATTCTCGCGATCGATTGGGAAAAACTTCGAACACATATTTATATACGTGCAGTGTTATTATATAGTATTGTGAACATTTGTAGTGAATAGGACTCTGTTCGGTGGCCTTAAGTACCGCCGGGTTAGTAGACCATTAAAAAGTCATTAATATCTCGCTGACTCGGGGGTCCTTACGGTCTAAGTGCGTACACCGATCTATATATGTCACTCTCACAATGGTAAATAGGTTTTAAATTCACTATTTCTGCCGAGAGAAAACAAAACGAACGGTTGACAGTTTTATGGGTATTTACCGATCTCGTTAGAAATAGCTACCATATGCGTGTCCACGGAAAACGAAAAAGGTTTGGGTCGCTGTACAATGGCGTAGCACGTTCAAATAGAATTTCCGGGCAAAGGGTATTTTTTCGTCAACCGTACGTTTTTGAATAAAATGCTTTTCGTTCGTGTGCACCACTGTCGTTGAAATGTATACGGGAACGAAAATAAACTTTAGGTAACGGTTTCATACGGAGGAAAACAATCATAAACGTTCGATGATTGACTAGTCCAATACAAATGTAACAGGTTTTCGTGTTTGAAAGACGTGCACCCGTTGTACAACGACGACTTGTAAGTTTGAAATAAAAACGCACGGTTCGTCCGAAATACGGTCGTCGTCACGGAAGTCGTGCACGCGACGTAAAACCGAGCGGATTTTTCCGTCGCGTTGAGAACATTTCGGTACGATTAAACGTGTCCGCGGCAGTACTTCCATGTCCTCAAAACGGGTCTTGTTCGCTATGGCTCGCACGGACATCAACCGTAGTATTGTACCGGGTGCACGGTAAAGCACGACCCCGTACGTTGTGAAACGTAATCGGTTGGTTTTCGAGTCGGGTCGAGGGAATATCATCGCGATCAGTCGTCGCGCGCTCTCGAAAAAAAAAAAAAAAAAAAACACCCAAAGGTATGTACCGCGTTCGTCGCACGACAAGGGATAGGTTTTGATCTTGATGCGGCGGTCGTGAATTTATTCGAAATAGCTGCGCGGTGGCGGCGACGGCGGGCGTGTTCCGTTGTAGGCAAACCGGACTGCGGGACGCGGCGGCATGTTCGAACGCGCTTAGACAGAGATGTAGACGCGCGCAGACGAAGACGCATTGCTGTACCGCGTCTACGTGTACATCATATATTATACGAACGCGGAGAAGGTTATTAAGATATTTTCGTTTTATAATTCAATTTTTTTTTTATCCCCCCCCCCTCCCCGTAATTTTACACAGACACATACGCTTAACATGTAGTCATGTGCGTGTGTGGAACATAAATAATACCTATACCTATACGAGGCGGGTACGGTAAGGAAAAAAAAAAAATGTTGAAACACGATACCTAAATGAGCCCCGACAAATATCTCATAATATTATACAACCGCACACGGCTCCGGTCCCTTTCGTGTATACCTACTCAGTGTCACATGTCAACTGATTAAAACTGGTTTCCATGTATTACTATTTTTTTTCCCCCTACCTTATCAAATCTCGTCATTAAAAGCGTCACTCCGTATAGAATCGATCTCTCTGTGGTATAAATGTATACGGAAAAAAAAAAATAATAATAATAACAAATAAAAGAACGACGATAATGGTTGACGGATAAAAAGAAAAAAATACAACAACAACAACAGCAGCGACAACGATTTAAAGATTTTGTAAAAATACTATGATCGAAAATCGTTCTGAAAGGCTTGATGTCCATTAATCATGCCGCGAAGATCTGTTAGACGATTTTTATTTTCGTGCACCGCGCCGCCGTCAGTGACGACGTGCCGGCGAGACAAACTCAACCGGAATAGTTGGCAATAGTATTGATATGAATAATAAAAAACAAAAAAAAATATATATAAATAAAAAGTATTTCGGTATAAAAACGAGAAATGATTATAATAATGTATGTTCGCTACATGTAGTGTCCGTATAATATTAATTTTCTCTTGGCAACGAATAATAATAATTCAAATTGGAAATATATTTTACGTATGTTTTTATAATTAAATGTCAAATAGCAAACGTAGCCCTCTAGGTTTACAGCACCAAAAATAATACATTTCCGATTTTTTTCTCGCGATTTCGATGAAATAAAATTTTTCGAACTTTATTAGACATTATTCCATAGCGTTTGGTTTTAACAACACATTTTGTGAAATCGGAATAAAAGGAAATTGTAAAATCGTCACTCCTCTTCGACGTGGTAATGATGACATCAAAGTTTAAGTTCCGTTTTCGAGTCTTCTGACTTGAAAACGTTCATCTACCACGCCGTATTCTATAACTTAGTCTGTATACTAATCCAATTCAGTGTCTGAATATTATTATCTTTCTTAAATGTAATTTGCATTGGTGGACTCAATATTTTAAATATAGCTTTTAATTATAGCTACTGATGTTAAAAATACTATAATACGTATATTGTACACGTTATGTTCAGTATCTTACCTTTGTGCGGCATCTTCCAGAACGGTTCGTTTTCTCTGCAAGGGAAAGGCCCGAGCCCCCCCACCCCAGCTCCAAGCAACGTCTTGACGGACCCCCACGTCCCTCCTCCGTAAAGTCCCAACACCTGTGAAAACAAACAACAATCATTATGGTTATGTAGAAATTAAAACGAAAAACAGTTACACGTACTTGGGGGTATGCTAAACATGTACGAAAAAAAATAATAATAAATAAATAGGTTTTACACGCAGCAGCGTACCTAATCGCGCCCCGGCATGTACATTCTGTTCTCACCCTCCGGAGTGACTCATGTACGCATCCTCTCGGGTGGTGCCCCCATTAAAATACCAAAAGATTACGCGGCGGAAGATTTAAATCGCACGTCCGGTGAAACGGCGAAGGGTTCGCTAAAACGTTGGTTCGAAGTGCGGGCGCTTCTCGATGCACGCACGCACTTCGTCCAAAGGATCCCCACCAACCAACAGCACCAGCACCGGGGACGTATTTAGGGGGAGGTGAGGGGGTAAAGTCGCCCCAGGCTGCAAATTCTTTTGGATTAAGGGGATCCATGATCCATATTCATTCGTCGATTAAAAATTTTTAATATTTTACCATTTTCCATAGCGACTAGACTGCGATTTTTGTTTCCGTCATAGTATTATCAAAAAATGATCTCGTGTAAAATCCGTAGACAATAAATATGATCTTTCTTGAAAAATCGTATAAAACGTTTGTGTAGGGGTGGAAGGTTGGGATTTGTTCCCGGACATGAAATTTTAGAAGGTATAATCTTTGTAATTATTAAAAACTAATTTGACATTTTTAACTTTGTTAAATACTGTTATTGGGTTAAGACTCAATAGGTATCATTGTATATTAATTATTAGAAAAAAATTCTCGAGAAGAGTATTTGTTTATTGGTCTAAAATAGGGTGTAGTTTTAACAGTTTCTCCGGGCGTAAAAATTCCTAGTTCCACCTCTGGTGACACTAAGACTTTACCGGTCGCGCTTCGGAAACGGATAGCTACTTCGGACGCGAACTAACCTGTACCGGAACAATCGCGTCAGCTGCGCGATGTGCGCAGGACGACCGCACTGCTCCACGTGCATTGTTCTTTAGGGGCACGTCGATTGTTGTGTTGACAACGAAAGGTGTACGAAAAACGTACATATGTACGTATAAACAGACGGATCTAGAAGTTAGCGCCACCCTGTGAAACGTATTCCTGTACGGTGCGCCACGAGATTCGGAGAAACGAATAATGGCGAAACGTTTATTCGATATGCGTTCGACCCTCTGCACAACGCGCCGGGTCTCGGCTGCGGTCGATAGCTGCGGCGGCGTATTGTGCGGACGGGCGGATTTGCACACGTCGAAACTAAATCGATGAACAAAATAAACGTGTCTACGAGCCGCTGAAAGGTTAAACAGGGGAGGGGAGGGGGTGAAATTTAAAGAATTTGATTTATTTAGGTTTTTTTTTTTTACGGTCAGTACGGGTCCGTATTTTTATAATACGCTCGGGATGTATAGAGATAGAGCAGACGTCAATATTTATAATAACGTTTTACTACGGATAATAAGGTTTACGCACGCACGGGCCCAGGGTTAAAACTACGAAAATTGTTCGTGTGTGTTATGGTTTCGGAATAATCAGAAATCGGGTTGGTCATTTTTCGCCTTCTTATTAAATATTATACCCGCCGAGTTAACCTGTACCAACGCAGCATTATACTTGTTTCCCGCGCAGCGGAAGACGGAAAAAAAAATAATAATATGCTTCTCTTTTTATATGGTGTTTTTCGTATTTTACATTATAACGTCTTGTGCGCACACAAAACGTGAACCGATCCTCGAATGTACTTTTCAAACTACGAAACGCGCGCAGGTCATTATTATTGTATTCCTTTTCTCGATTAATTTAATAAATTGCTGCTGCGCGCACGTACGTTCAATACTGGAGTGTGTGTGTTTCTTTTAAATATTTTTTTTGAAATCGGGAACGGCTGCCGCGCGGAGACCATTCGTCTTTGAACGTGTACAACGGTGTGTACCCTCAACACAAAGCGGCGTCAAAACGAGTGCGTGCGTATACCGACGTTACAAACGCGTACACATATTTAAGTACGATTATAGGACACGACCAAAGCAAGTGGGCACTTGACTCGGTCCGTACACGCGGCTACGGGGTAGTTAGTGCGCGAAAACCTACGGAGATCGTTTAGACGTCGTATAGCTGTTTGTGTAGACGACGACGAACAAAAAATATGTATAAAAAATAAAACTTTTTTGATCGGTCACCATTTTCACTTCTACTCGCCCCCGTCATTCCTGTACATGCACCACGAACCTGTAAGAATGTTCCGCATGCGTACATATTTTGTGACTGCGACGGTGGCGGACAAACTCTCATTAGCGACTTCAAAAGAAAACGCGACTTACATGACCGGGATTCGATGCACACATGTACATGTACACTCGAACCGCCGGCGCATTTTCGGATCGACTCGCGGCGGCAGTGGCTGCGGGGGTTTGTACGAAACGACGGGAAAAAAAGAAAAAATATAATTGCACGCCGCAATAATGTATTCGTTAAGGGGGTGTATTTTTTTCATTTCATTTTCCCCGTCCGCAGGATTAAAAAAAAAAAAAAAAAACGAGAACACGCAAAGGAAACGCGCGTGCGACAATCCCTTTGAACTGCGGGTTATTTTATTTTCGTACGCGATTTACACTAATTACCCGCAACCGCGGTTTTGAATCGTGTTTTGATTGCAACCGACACGCGACTTCGCTGTGAATAACGATTTGCGGCCGCGGTTCGAATTCTACCCGCACACGTCACCGCTCGTAATACACAATATGTACATGTGTACAAGGGCCGGACGAGAGAAAGGGTGCGCATGCGGATGCACTTCCAAAAGTCCGCGGCCTTTATTTACCAGTTTAGCGCGTGCGTAGTGTACGTATTATTTGGTGTTCCGTAATCGTTTGTTCGTGGTATAACGTTCGTTATACCACGTATAATTCGTTTGTTCGTCATCGAAACGGTCTCGGAAAACTATCGGTTCGCAGTGCGCGGAACGTGCCTGCGTCTAGTAAACGAAAAAATGAATGTGTCCGCGGCATACGTACGTCATGCAGATTCGCGGTGTATCGCGTTTGTACAATTTATGGCGAACCGCAGCGTTTGTGCACCGTCTGGATAAGGTGATCGTAGCGCTGAGACAACGTTTTGTTCGTTATAGTTTCTTGCCCGGGTTTGGAAAATAAAAAACCGCGATATCTCTGTCGGTCCCCACGGATCCATAAATCGTGAGCGCTTTGTGCGTTATTGCCACGTTAAGTGCCATAATAGCTCTATGCGTACTTACGTACGCATAACGTAATGCGCGTCGCAGTAGCAGCGAATAAATTAATGTCCTATTACGTTCAGTCAAAATCGTTAAATGTATTTAAGATACTATATTTATATGAAAATATTACTTTTGGCGCGGTCTCCAGTTGAGTGAAATGTTTTTCTGGCATTTTCCGGTTTCGGCTTCAACAAAAATAACAAATAACGTTTGCACGTGAGTTAATCGAGAATACACAATGAATTTTCGGTGAACAAATGGAATTTGCCGCTTATGAGGTTAAGGATATGTTAATTGTTCTATTGCGATGAAGCGTCTATTTTATTCGTCTATTTCGTTCGACGAAACGATTATCGTTTTTTATCGCGATAGAAAAACGAATATAAAAAAACGTGTTATGGCCGATACATTGGGAATAGACACCATTATTTCGTTATTATAATAATAATAGTTATACCCAGGTGCACATGCAAAAGAGGGATTAGGAGTTCAACCTCCTGCCCTAAAAACGGTGAGAAAATATGTAGTCGGACAATTGTTTACCCACACCCAACAGTCGACGTTGTTATCCGTGTAAAAGATGCAAGACCGGTAAAGGCGACTAAATTCAATTTTACGTCGTTATTTGTTATTCGTTAATAATTTTATTCGTCGTAGCCTTCTTCGAAAATACGATTTGAACTTATGACTTATTGTAACTGTAAATATGAGTGTTTGAAACACACACGTTTACAGTTGTAACGCATTTGACTATATTTTATCAACCGTTTCTACGGTCGAAAATATCTTTGCTCGATTTACGTTTTGATAATCGTTTCGTCGCCCATCAATCGTACGAACTATTTTCTATACGCGCACCCGAGCGACGACAACGTAACATTCGGTGTCGCGTCGATACGTCGTCACCTACGGTCGGTTAACAGGTTATGCCCACGCGTAATCGGGCGTAGGATAGGCGCGGACGAACAATAATCGAATTTCCAACAATTTAATTCGACGGAATCGAATCGCGGGCGATGACATTACGCTCGTACTCGTAATTATATTCAACGCGGCCCCGCCCCTATAGCCGGGATGCCCCGTCCCCCTTGGGCACGTATTGTTGCGGTCCCCTCTCGTCGCAGCTTTTTCTTTTTTTAATATTTTTTTTGTCAAGCACCACGAGCTAATATTCCATGTACATACATAATACATATTTTTCCTCGTACCCTCGCGCGGTCTTTTTTTTTTTTTATTGTTCGTCTTCTTACGCGTATATATATATATATATATATTTTTTTTTATTATTACCGTCGTGCATTGTCCTCGCGTACGTACGCGCGTGTGTGTGTACATAGCGTGGCCATGATGGTCCCCGCAGTATTTACCTACCAAGAGAGCCCCGACAATGGGACCCTGCAGCAGCAGCAGCAGCACGGGGGCAGATGGTGTGTCGGATGGTTTTCTAATTCAGAAAACCGCTAGTGGAAAAAAAAAAAAAAACGGTTCTTTTATGCGCCACGCACAAATAATACCATCGCCGTCGTCGTCGCGTAATATTATTATGTGCGCGCACACACACACACACGGCACGAACGCGTACAATGCGCGCATCGTGTGTCCCCCTGCAGCGTCGACATAATAATAATAATATGAACGGAAAAACGTACCCCCGGTGTACGATTGTCGCGCGGTAATTCGGTTAAATGTATCTATCGCGTATTTGTACACGCCGGACGCGAGACGAGGGAGGAGCGACGGAGACAAAAAAAAAAAAAAAAAATGGAAAACGAATATAAAGACCGTTGACTGTACCGCACGTCGCATGCGTAGTACACCGTACGGGTATTATTTACCGCGCGAAATCGAACGACAACAACGGAATCGTCGGGTTAGGGTTCGTCCGTGTATCGCATGCACGCGATTAGGTTTTAATAGCCTCCCCGTGCGCGCGCGTACCCCACCCGCGGGGCGCGATTGGATCCGCTGATCAAACAAGCGGAGCCGGTGTATACAATACCTATTAAATACGTACGCGCGTACATTGTGTAAACATTGTGTAACCGTATTGGCGACGTGCGGTGGCCGTTGGTTGAACCGACGGATGGCGATCGGACGACGATGGAAAATCGCACCCCCCGGGTGTGCCCTTTGAAGTCCGACGGCGAATCGATAAATCGTGCGACGTCCGTTCGCGCGAACACGACGCGGGTAAACTTTATACGAGCATCACGTACGCCGGCGACCATCGTCGCGTTTGCGCGATACGATTACTGCGTTCCGTACGTGCGCCGGGATTCGCACCCGGCAACAGCGGCGCATTTAAGGGGGGGGGGATGAAAGGGCAAATATTTGGAGCTGCAATATATTCTTTTATTATTGATGGTGTTCGTGTTTATTTTATAATACATTTAATCTAATAAAAAAACCGTGTATTGTTGTTATCGTTGTGCATATAAGTGTTGATTCCGCTTTTTATATATATATTTTAAGAAGGAAATATTCACTTTGAATAAAAAAGATTAGGTTAACGTTAGGATATGTATTACTATAAAATTATCTATGACAATATCGCAAAACAAAACTGATTTATGATTTGTTTCATAAAATTAATTTTTTTATTGTTTAACTTTGAATTTATTTATACATACATACATACATATATATATATATTTTTTTGTAAGGGGAAGGGCGGATATTGAACGCGCCACTGCCCGGCAACAACGTCCGACTAGCACGGTAAAATAAAAACGGATTTCGTACGACTGACCGGTGAAAAAACGACAATTTACCTTGCATTACGTATTTTGACCAAAAACCGTCGTGATATGTTTATAATGTGCCTATGGTATTTTTTATACTCATTATTCCCGTCGAGTTTATGAACAAGAGTTCTAAATTGAATCTCAATACGTTTAGACGAATAAACACACGAAGAATAAAGCATGATTTATTTTAGAGTAAGTATACGTCGTACACGGATAAAATATATCTGTCGAATACTTTAATAGCTCAATGAATAATTAATACATTTTCGTACGGTCATTATTGATTTATAACACTGTGTGTGTGTATTAAACGTTATTAATTTATGCTACACGTCTATAAATTATTACACGAGCTTATAATTCTATTTATGTTTATGTTTATTATTTTTTTTTAGTTTCCTGCATTTTTACTATGGAAATGTATTTGTAATATTATTAATTCCATGTTGAAACATATATATATATATTCAATGGCGAGTAACAACCAGTCCAAACCTATTGGTTTTCAATATCAATACTGTAATAATGTGCAACTCATGTAAAATAATTTTTTTTTGTAATTTGAACACGATTTTTATATGATTGAAAATTATAATTTTTTTAAGATATTGCAGATTAATCAGTCGAAAATTGAAAACGCACTAATGCACTTTTAAATTAAATTTAATAAACTTTACCATCGACTGACGAATAAAATATAACAAATTATATGGCTGGGTCATAATAATTTGATCGAATATTATTTAAATATTTTAAAATTATTATCTAACACGATTAAGAAGGTCAGTTTTGTAAAAAATTATCATTATTTTGTAATATTTCCTACTTATACTTGTATCGAATATTATATAATGAACGAACCAATTTTATTCAATTGGAATCGAACACATATAGTTTAATAACATGTTTATCGTTCAACAATTGATTTAACATTTCAAAATATGCAAATGCAATTATTTTACGGAATAAAATTACAATTTGATTTGTAAATGGAATTTTTTATAATATTTTTAGTAATTTATGTTATAGGTTATAATCGCGGTTAAGGAAAATCAGATATTTCAATTACGTATCGTCTGAATATACTGCATAATCAACCACGTCAGTGAAACTTTTTAACATAACTTTATTTACGATTTAAAATAATTATTTGTACTATATTATAAATACTGCAGATATTGATTAGAAAAATTTTACCTCTTACACTTTACTTTTACACGCGTATTATAATTATAAGCAATGAATATATACATTGTTGCGACTTCATATCGAATCCGCAGACGTTTAAATGGTTTTACCTACACGTAAAACGATTATTAACAATTTGAACTACAAATAGAAGGTTGAACACAACGCTATCCCAACAGTTATTGCAAACATATTTCGATAACAATATTATGTGTTGGTACCTAATCAAACGTTTTATTGTGTGTGCATAGAGTTTGAATTAATTTTGCCTACATCATTGGAGTGCGAACAATTAATAATAAAAATATAATAAACTAACATTGATTTAACATTAAACTGTGAACTATAAAATCAGTATACGATGTAATGTAGGTACGGCCAATGCGCAATTGGCCTAAGTTTGCAGACATTGTGTCTAGACTGATCGAGATAATCACCTGTGATATTATTACATATGTGTTCACGAGTATGACACGCATAACATATGTACTGCTACCTAATTAGATTGATACGGTGTAGGTTTATTTTCATCGTTGTGTTAATATTGTAATAATTATTATTTAATAATGATTGATTTGTCTGTCGGATAGCGATAAGGAATTATTTTTATAAGTGTGTAGCGAACGATGAGCATTATCAACACCAGAGGGTATTTGGTGAAAGAAATGTATCTGAATGTTTTTTTTTTTTCTTTTTTTTTTTTAACAGTCTTTTGGTTATTAAATTTAACGCGGATATTTTCAATACCTTAATGTTTTCATCGTTTAACTTTGTTCAACGGAAAATACGCGTCGAGAACTATTATGTTGAAAATATGTAACTAACCGAAGCCGGTTACATAATGTTCGTGCGAATGTTAAACATTTATGACAGCACGAAATTAAACTTTGCGACAACGGGCATTTTTTTATCGTAATATTTTATCTCGAAATTGTGTAGAGAAATAATTTGAATTTCTGTACCAATATCTGAGTTGTGGTCGTAATGGAATTTTCCGCAGTAAATCAGAAATATTTCCGCGTAATATCGGGTTCGACATGGTATGTGGAAAAAATTGAAACGACGCAATTGCACGTTCGCGGCAAACCATTTTCAAGAGTGAACACCGCGAATCGGAACGTTTGTATGGTCCACGTGCGGCGGGATGAGACGGTAAAAGTGAGGTTGGCGTAAAAGTCGTTCGGACCGAAAGAAGAGCGATTCCGTCGGAAGCAGCAACGGTACGTGTACGAGAAAAACGGAGAGGGTGAAAAAAACACGGAAAAAAACACTTACCGATTGAGATCCGTAAAGCGCCTTCGGAGCGCGCGTTCCGGTAGTCGCCTCGGTTGCCGGTCGGTTACCGCGACGGTTGTTTGCGGCCGTGGAACGTGTTCAGCAGCAGCAGCAGCAGCAGCAGCAGATCACGGCATGTCACGGCGCGGGCGCGCACGGCACACGCACCCGTACGCGGGCGACGACGTTTCGCGCGGAAACGCCTGGGCACGAGCGGTTAGCCGTTCTCTCGGGCGTCAACGCGCGTGCCGAGATATCGGATCGGGACTGGCGAATAAGGGTTGGAAACGAGAAACAAATATCGAACGGGCAAAGGAGGCGCAACGAGAAAAAAAAAAAAAAACGAGCACCTCTGACGACGACCGTGTGCGCGTCTCGCAGAAGTCTGCTCTCGCGGAGACCGATCAACCGATTCGCGTCAAAGTCGGTTAGGTTAGTCGGTGTGGGTATGTCGGACGTGCGTCAGCGACCCGTTCGGTTCGGTACACACGACTGCGTCCGTCTCGTCCGCGGTGGCGTCTCGGCGGCGGTGCGGCGCGCGCGACTCGGGCGGACGTCGCGCGCGCCCCACGCAGACTCCACCCCGCCGGCCCGCGGTGGGCGGGGCCCAACTCGCGCGCCCCTCCGCGGCGGCGTCCGGTACCCGGTGTCCCTTCGCGGTGGTGGTAGGGATGCGGTTGTCGTGCGGTGCCGCGTACGTACGCGCGCTGCGGGGCGAACCGACCCTGCTGCGACCCTGCAGCCGCTCCGGCGGCGGCGGCGCACCGCGGTCGTCCGCGCTCTCGCGGCGGTTGTATTATTACGGTTCTGTTATTACGATATCTCGGTAACGCTCGAATCGGAAAAATACGCGTTATCGAACCCGTCAAAATTACGTGAGTACGACTTTCGAAAATAATTATCGTGTACATCACGTCTGGAGCTGACGGAACGCCGCCGATTATACGACGGAATCGCAGCGTTGTACGAGAGGACGTTCTATTCCGACGCGAAAACGCGATTCCGTCTCCGACATATAAGGGTTAAAAAAGGCTCGTGATTTTTGATCGGTACACGAAAACATTATTCCTCGTCCTTCCAGAAAAAATTCGTTAGTTACATTTAATTGCCATTAAATGGTGTTTACCTGATATACCCGTACACGTACACGACGTTCCCAGCGGTGCTGTTGCCGGGGTTGCCGACCGTACCGATCCGATGCGCGCTCGGACGATTTTATACTTATCCAATACAGTCCAATCGAGCAATGTTACCGCGGTCGTGGTGATCGGTACTCGTCAGACCACGTTTCGTTCGCAGGGATCGTAAAATGCCGGTGTTGCTAGTCCGCGCCCCGTGTCGACCGCTCCGATTGTCCCGCGCCGTACGCTTTCGCTTCGTTTCACGATGGTAGTGTAGGTACGCGTGTGCCTCGGCCCGGGCGTTTTACGACCGAGTAGTATAACGCGGGCACACGGGTGCAACGAGGGTGAAGAATATTCGACCCACGAAGCGCTGCGAACCGTAGCCTACAGGTGCCGGATCTTCAAACCGTTTTACCGGTTAGGTAATACATCAGTGCCCCTAAAAGTTACCGATAAACAGTTCACCTCAGACGAATTGACGTATGGAGGATTGTCGTGGGCGATTTTAACGCGTAACACGTAACAAGTCGGATTCAACTTTCACACAATCACGCTTAAATACATTCACATACATTCGTGCATTATGGAAACGTTTATTTTCAACGAAAAATCGATTATAAGTTTGAGCTTAAGTTTACCTCTCAATAGTGCATGTACTACAAACAAATTCGACCAATACACTTGAAATCGAACACACTCTTGAAATTCGAATTCGTTTAAAATACGTTCACAGTTCATGGATTTAGCGATTCCGCGCTAAACGGATATGATTGACGGAGTTTAATCTTCTTTGTTTCGTGATCGATCGTTGATTTTATGAGTTAGATTACGGACGAGTAAGAAGTATGCCACCGTAACGGGCGTTTAGTAATTTTTTTTCCGATCGGATTACGTGCCGAGTAAAACAATCTAAAATTAATTCATTTTTATCGATATATTTTTCGCAAAAGATTCCATATTTTTATTTTTTTTAAAATACTAAACGCGTAATGAAAAACACTCGTTGAAAGTTCGAAACTCGCGCCCCTCCTTGATCAGCGTCCGGGACACGAACCCCCGGATCGGCTACCCGCCCTCGGATCCGGTGCTGCCAGCACATTCTTCGGAAGTCGAGTGCGGTACGGCGTACACACAATAACGCATAAATATATAATAATGCGAGTTCACGAGGCAATATCTCGTGCAATATTATTGTGCGATGCGACGCGAATGTACACGGTTCTTGGAAACCCATCGCTTACGAACAAAAGAACGTGCAATTATCGTTAAAAAGTTTTTCGAACTTGGCAAGAGTACCTACTTCGCCCGGTCTTCATTGCGTCGAGTATTGTTTATTTACGCGAACAATATGAAATCGTACAATGATATACAGGTGTACTTCGTGTTCCGTGAACAAATAAACTTTTTTCCCGTCTATTCCGTAACATAAAACGGTTTTATCGTGGAGACCGTCGACGTTTAAACAATATTCACGTTTTATCATTTTTTTTTTTTTTTAAACCCCATTACAGTTTGTGTAAAACGTATTCAGTTAAAATATAATGAAAACTACTTAAACGACCAAAGACAATTTTTGATTGATATAAGTATTATTGTTAGTCGATACATTGTTTTAATTTCAATTGTTCGTTCAAAATGTATTACCATAGGTAGAGAGATCAAAAGTGAAGGAAAAAAAAATCATATCTGTACAAATAAACCGCCTTGTCCGTCCGTACACGAACATCTGTTGATGATACTAAACGTAGAGTATTCCGCGTACGGTTTGATTAAACTTCTCGCGCATACCTGGGCGGTTTGATCGAAAAATATTGCGTAATTATTAATTAAATTCAATTAATCAGCTATTTATTTATTTTTAACTATCAACTGGAAGGCGTATAACGAAAAAGAGAAGTGTACGAATGATCGCGCGCAACGGTACTTTATATAAGTAAGAAGGGGGGGGAAGGATAAAAATCATTTATCGGCGACGGATCGACTTGTACGTAAGAACAAGTTTAGCGGAAGCAATTTTGCAAAATAAAACGTTTACATGCAGCCAGGGGCGTAATTAGGGGGGATTATGGGGGGGATCCATCCCCCAAAACTTTTTTTATGTAATTTTTTTTTATTTATTATATTGTGATAATATGATTATTATCATTATTATTATTATTATTGTTAAAATTTAAATTATTAAAAATTTTGTTCTGGTAGGGTGGGAGGTTACTGTATAAGGTGTACAGATTTTGCTAAGATCTATAATCCCCCCCCAAAACCAAATTCCTAATTACGCCACTGATTGCAGCGGTTTGTACAAACCGCGTCAACAAAGCAATTTCGTTGTGCCAGCGAATGAAAACTATCGATTTCCGCACGGACGCGAACACCGTAACTGCAGCGACCGTACTTGTTGCGAATCCGCTCGCGGTCAGAAATTAATCACGCTTCACGTAGCAATATAAGTGTATCCGTACCGATAAAACCGAAAAACGGAAAAACTGCCATCCCCGCCCTCTTTCCGTAAAATTTTTGTTTCGCCCGTCGTCCACTCGTTTAATATATTTCACCAGTTCATTTGCTGAAAAATCGTAAAATGTTACGACTTATGGTATCGCGTTACGGCCAAACGGGGTGTTAGAGAAATTCAACGACAATCTACGGAAATGTTTATGGATTTGACGGGCTTAACCTCGCACGTTTTTCGCTCGGCGTTCATCGTACCTATCCGGAGAACCCCTCGTTTGCACTCGAGATGGTCCGGGACGTTTCGAACGACGGAACGAACCGTGAAAATTTTAATTTCGATTCGAAAGTTCGTTGCGGAACCCGAGGCCGAGCAACGAGGTACGCGCGTGCAATGTACCTACATAGTATTTTATCGTCGTGTTGTACCGTCAAGCGATTATCGGCAGTACATCTGCGATTTGTCGCGGTCGTAGGGGCGCCGTTAGTCGATTTATGGAGTGCAATGCCCTTAATAATCGAACATAACGCGCAAAAGCTGTACGGACTTGTCGTGCTGCGGTCCAGTGTTGTGCTGAATAGCTTTTTTTTTTTTTTTAGGCAATCGGGAAAATACGGGTGGATGTATATTCTTTTAAATTAAGAATGTGGCCTATTTCGTATTATACCTTAAAACTTAAATGATATTTATAGTTTTTAATGAAAAAAAAAAAACGAAAAACCTGATGGTGGGTGGTCAAATTGTTTAGCTTGCCGCAGATCTGAAAAATGTTCCGCACGCCACTGCAGTGCAGTCCGTCGGGCCGCGAACAAAAACATCGTTGCACTGCGGTCGACGTGCGGACGCCATTAACACGTATCGATAATGTTTCTACCCGAGTTACAATTTGGGTTTACACACGGTTTACTATCATTTATAAAATAGCGGAGTTGCACCACGTTCAAATTCCGTTCTAAACACGGTCTAAACTATAATTTGCATACCAGATTTAACATGTTGCGCACCGAGTTCGACCAAAGTGCAAATTCGGTGTTGAGACGGTTGTTAAGGTTTATTTATTGACGGTTCCTCTAAAGTGCAAATTTAATGTGGAGACGGTTGTAAAGTTCACTAATTGACAGTTCCGCTAAAGTGTAAATTTGATGTGAAGACGGTTAAATGGTTCACTAGTTGAGGGTTTCACAAAAGTTAAAATGTAGTGACCAGACTTTGTTTAATTAATAATGATAACGGCATTCTTGAGTGAGGCAAGGTACGCAGTATGCACTCACATCCACTGCAATTTTTATCTATACTTGGCTCAGGTATTAATCAACAACCTTTTTTATCTTGGCCTTAACTCTTAAATATTCATTTTTTTTTTTAATAATATAATTTCAATTGCGTGCAACCACATTATAATATGTTACTATTATACTATAATAATTCCTTTATGTACACAACAGTCAATCATATTTATTCAAATTTTAAAATATAAAATATTATACCCATGGACGTTGTACCCAAATACTATAATAAGTTCGGTACGCAACTAACACACAACATAGCCAAACAATTGTCAACAGCTTATGATATCAAGGGGAATGTAATTCCCTTCCAAAATACAGTACCTGAAGGCAAAATCGTTCACGTTCATGGCAAACGCAATCTATCTTCTTCGTCTACTTCCCCTAGATCTGCGGACAAGAAATCAAAACCATTTGTTTCCCCGAATCGGTTTGAGGTTCTACAAAGCGACGATGATTCAAGTGAGTGTGCTTTTCTTCCACCTAGTGACCATACTGCAGTACGTGAGACTCAGTCTCGACCCGATATCAACAAAAATACAACCCGTTCTCAATCTATTTACATCAAAAATATAACCAATTTCACCTTATTCAAAAATAAATTAATACAACTCACGTGTATTAATGGTTTCACTTACAAGGCTACGTCATCCTATCTTATCGTT